ATAGTCTAACCCCCTGTTACATGGGATTAAACCTATATAGTGAAAAGTCGATGCAACATTGTACAGTAGCATTACCGTATATACATATTATAAGTGCCGTTATGTGCACCTCAGCCTATCCCGCCGGGAATAAAAGATGTTATATTATGTAATTATGTGATATGTTTTTTTTATCTCAGTAAGACGTCTAGGAAACAGCAGTACTTATCTGTATAGGGATGATGTCTCTGTTAAACCTGTTATTAAAAGTATATGTTTTTTATTGTTGGAATGTTGTCTATAGCTATTTTCCATCTATGATATTATTATTATTATCTTTTATAATGGTATCGTTTATTTTGAAATGTAGGTTTAAGAATTGAAATTAGTAAACGGTTCACACACTATACAGGTCCTTTTTTTATTTAGGGGGAAACCTTCAAAAGGCGCCCAGCTTTTTGGGGGTAAAAGACTAGGGAGTGTGGGATTTTCTCGGTGGCCACACTCAACACCTGTATGAAGGCACCGGGTACTCTAAAGGAGACCTGCTCCGGACCCTTCACGGTGCAACGCCTGTTACGACACATCCCTAGAGAGACGGGTATCTCCTCCTCTTTGTTGTGTACGGCGGCACGTGACCACTGTGCCACCGTTTTGCCAGAGACCACAAGGTGGGCATCTAGAGACCCCACTCTATGCACCCGTGGCCTCACATTATATACAGGTCCTAGCGGTATTTCACTGATTGTCATTGTAGACAATTTTTTAATGGTTTTCATACATTTGCTGTTACACACTTATACAAACAGTTTTATTTTGTTACAGATACGATAACGTCCATAACCGAAGGTCCAGACCTTCAAGACAAGTCTACCAGAAGAAGTCAGCCACACACGTCGCGCATCTCCGCCGGTGAGAGCGGTAAAGCTTTCACTAGTTGATCCATAGATTAGTTCACATCACAAACCATATGGGACCTACTACAATTCCCAGAAACGAAATTTCGTTCTGAAAAATTCTAATCATTTTAATCAGAGTCAAAGTCAAAATCAAAGCATTTATTTCAATTAAACCATAGTTTGGTACTTTTAAAACGTCAACAAATACAAAATAAATAATAGTCTATCAGTCAGTCCGTCAGTGAAACTAGGTGAAGTGCTCATTCCAAAATGTAGATTACAATGAAGAAGAACGAGCAAGAAATTCAATTCGTTACTCTTTTTAAAAAGTATGTTCTACATTAATTCATTATAACTAATTTCCGACTATTGAAATATTGTTGAACGCATACGAAGAATTCAAAACTATTGATGAATAAGATATACTGTGTGCCATAGATTAGTCGTTTTGATAACAAAATTTTGTTTCGTAAAATTGTAGTAGGCCTCCAGTTTCATCCACTGCATCGCTTGTGAACTCTTATATACTGAAGAGTTCACATTAACTCCTATCATAACCAGAACCTAAAATTACTAGTTATTATATTTCACACTTTATTCATATTCTTACATTCCTTCTCTCTTTCTTTTGGTCAAACTCAAACAAGTATACCAATCGTACATACACTTTTAACACAAAAACATCAAAATAGAATTGATCAAATAGTCTGTATTAGTAAAACTAGCTGCACTTATTGTCATTCAACCAACAATACAATAATTCTCTTCAAAATGATACCTCTCATTCAAATAATCCCCACATTTCTTAGAGTATGAGAGAGCCATGCTTTAGCACGAATGGGCCGGCTCGACCGGAGTGTGATGGGTTCACAGAAAACCGGCGTAAAACAACGCTTGCGTTGTGTTTCATCATCATGTGAGTGAGGTTACTGGAGCCCAATTACCTCCTCCTCCTACAATCCTCAAATTCCTAATCCCCAAAAGGCCGATAACGCATTATAACGCCTCTGGCATTCCGGGTATGGACACCCAGCGACGCTAATTACTCATTACCAGGCGATCTGTCTGCTCATTTACCGGCTTATCCAAAAAATCCAACACACACCTTAAGAAATTAGAACTTTTCCGACAATAACTTACGAGGTTCCTAACACGCCCACAATGAACTAAACTACCATACTATTAGAAGTATGTTTATAAACCAAACTGTGCCTAAACAGAACCCAAATAACGTTCCTACTTTACGACGGTCCGTGGCATTTTGAACAGAAGTTTAGGAATACTTACCTTGCCACGCCTTTACGACATTCGAATTGACACTATCAACGCTTTCATTAAGATGTGTTGTGTCGACTTTAGCCTACTAGATGTATGTAGGTATAAGAATGTTCAGTAGTTCATTGTGTTTGTAACTAGTTGGTATTTATTAGATTTTTTTAAGGGGGGAATATCATCCAATGGCTTCTCCCGCCTGGTTGAGGCGGGAGGCAGTGTCAGACTCTCACTGACTAAAAATGACCCCGTTCTTTTTATCGGAGCTGAAGCCCCGGTAACCTTTTACGTTCTGGCCCTATTAGGCCCTATTCGTGGTAGTCTGATGGCTAAATATTAGGCATAGTAACTAGCTTATTGGGCATGGATATTATGTCCTAAAATTTCGCGACAGGCCATTTAAGGGTGTGACCTAGTTGCGATCACCGCCTTCCAAGCAAGGAGACTATGACAAACCTCCTCTTAAATTGGAAGTCTTTTACCAGTGGGCGTATTCCATTAGAAACTGATGCAAATATTGTTGTAATTAAAAAAAAGGAATGCTATGTTTATTACCTAAACTAGATTAAGGTTACTATAATTAAGACAAATTGAACCTAATCGACTCAGCAGTTAAGCAGTAAATTGCGACAATAACAGAGCAGTGTTGCTACCAAATATCTCTATAATAGCCTTTATAGTTCTGTAACTAAGGCCGTTGTTCTGTGGCTATAAATAAAGATAAATTTATAGCCGCCGCATGCTATGTTTATAGCCGATGCATGCCACACAAGTTTTAGATGTAGGATTAGAACGTGGTTTGAGCTAGGCATAAAACCTAGTGTTTGAAAAATATTTATTTTTACGATGTTTTTACCTACAGTTAAAATATTGGCGGTTTTAAAATGGAACATACTTATTTGCATATTTACTATAAACAAGGGTTTAATTAAGTGTTATTTTCGTAGTCTGCATATTGATTTAAGGTTGTGCTTACAAGTTTTGACGCAAGTTAAAAGGTAGGTACAATACATCGAGCTTTTCAGTACACGTGGTCAACTTTGGTCTTATTTATGTACTTACTACCCTTAATAAAACCATCAAGTTTCATTTGTCTCCAATTAGCTTCTATAGACGAAAAACATACTGCCTCGTTGGCCGAGTGCAAGTGCTACTGCCGGGCAAGGGGTCTCGAATTCGATTCTCGGGTCGGGCAAAGTACTACTGGGATTTTTTTTACATTCTCAGTAGTTGCACGGAGTCTGGAATCGTGCCCGGTATATGGCAATAGACTGCCCTCCTATTACTTGGTACTCAGTGGCATTAAGTGCCATAATGTAAACCTCTGCCTACCCCTTCGGGGATAAAAGGCGTGATGTTATGTATGTGTATATAAAAACCATAAACGCTATTTCCATCGCGTGAATACGCTGATATATTATCTATTATGCAGTTTTTTGGCTCATAGAACAGATCTGATGTTTCCTGTATTTTTTTTAAACTGTCAAACACCGCGAGGACACCGGTGACCGCAACCTATTGTTCTTTAATTGTGTCTATAATGACGGTACTCAAAGAGTTAAGGGGGGAAAATCATCGAATGACTCCTCCCGCCTGGGTGAGCCGAGAGGACGTGTCTACAGTGTATCAGACTCTTACTGTCTAAAAACCACCCCGTTCCTTCTCCTGCACGTCGAGCCGGAGCCCCGGTAACCCGTTAGGTTCTTTCCTGTATAGGTTGTCTATCTAGGCAGTTACTCTGTTAGTCCAAAAATACATTATTGCACTAAGGCCTCCATGTTTTACCATTGAAACAGAGAACAAACTGAGCAAGAAATAGTAGAAATAAATTTTAAACCTACTGACCTACTTATATTCGGACCTGAAGGACATCGGTATTGTCATGACAGCATAAAGGTTTCATAACATAATATGTAGCAATATGTATGTTATTATATATGTATGTGTGTATCGTTCATTATAGTCTGGGGTCCAAGTTGCGTGTCTATGTTTGTATTTTCGATGTGTCAATCAGTATGTTGATCGACCTTCCTTGCCCAGTAAAGCTATGAAGAGTTGATTAGTTATTTATAGACTTGGTCCATACCCACCATAATTCATTTAAAGGAATACCAAAACTAGGTAATGAGATATTGTACAACATATAGTTGTTTAAAAGAGTAACGAATTAAGAATTTTGGAATGAGCTCTGAATAAAAAATCTGAATTTTGTTGGTAGCGGTAACTGGTTACTCTACCATGTTGTCCCGGAGAAATAATAGCCCTAAAGGTTTAAATTAATTGTCGTGTAGTCCGGAGGTTTAAGACGCCTTCTCATGCATGAGAATGCGGGTTCGAAACCTACCAATGGCAGGTACCAATGTGACTTTTTCCGAAATGTAATGTACTTTCTAAGATTACGCTGATTAACGGTGAAGGAAAACATCGTGAAGAAACCTGGGCTTATAATTTCTAATTATAAATTTGTAATCGCCAACCCGCATTGAGCAAAAGTGGTGATTAATGCTCAAACCTTCTCCGTGTGAGAAGACGCTTTGCTCAGCAGTGGGCATTTATAGGCTGTTGATGATGATCTAGCTTCAATGGCAGACAGGCTGACAGACTATTAATTATTTTGTATTTGTTTACATTTCAAAAGTACTTAATAATGGTTTAATTAAAATAAATGCTTTGACTAGACTTGAACGCAATTTATGAAATGAATATCAGTCAGATGGCAATCATACACAGAACTTCTCTGTTTCTGAAAATATTTCTATCTCTTTTCTTGAATTAATAAACTGTGACTGTTATTCGAGTGAACCAAAGTCTACAATAGCGATCAATCAAAAAAGCGAATGCACAAGAAAGATGCGTCCTTTTAACATCGTCTTGGATTACCTGATGGTAAGCCATTAGAATCGCTCATGCACTCGTCACTCGCAATACTAAAGGAGTATACGTGGGTTGTCTGCCTTTTAAGGGTCAGTCTACGACAGCCATGCTTCGGCACGAATGGGCCGAATCGCAGTGATGTTCCCACAGCCTCTCAGAAAACCGACGTGAAACTACGCTTGCGTTGTGAGAGTGAGGTTACCGGAGGCCCAATCACCCCCTCGAATTCCCAACAATCCTCAAATATCTAATCCCTAAAAGGCCGGTAACACATTTGTAACGCTTCTGGTATTTCAGGTGTCCATGGGTGACGCCGCTTACTTGCCATCAGGTGATCCGTCTGCTCGTTTACGGGCTTATACCATTAAAAAGGCGTGATTAGACCTCTATTTTATATAAGTTTGATGAACTATGTCTAAAACCAAATCATTTTCCAGAATGGAGTGGTGCAACGGGTGGTCCTCCTGCAGAAGTAGTGCTGCGGTTACATCCACCATCCTCGACGTCAAGAGTCAACGCTTCGTTAGCTGACGTCGGTAGGTAAAGCAGAGAATGAGAGTGAAGAGAAAGAGAAAGAGAGACGGAGATAAACTTTTGTAAATAAATAAGTACAGTTTAAAAATTAAATACGTTCACTCCTTATTACATGAGACTCATAACATAAATAGTGAAAAGTGGGTGTTACATTGTACAGTGGCATTAATTGCCGTAATGTGCACTTCTGCGTACCTCTTGGGAGATAAAAGGCGTGTTGTTATGTTATGTTTAAAAATTATAATTAATAGGAAACCGCTGTAATCTGGGAAAAACTTATGGTTAAGATATTATCTCAGCCTACTAATTCTGAAAATGAAATGTTATCTAATAGTTTCCAACAATCAATTTCGCAATCAATAACATAAACTGTTAAAAATGAGTAGTAAGATAAATAATAACTCGAACGATTCTCTTTGACTTAAATCTAAAATCTACTAGGTACTTTAGATTTATTTACGAAGAAAACTTTCCCCAAAGCACCTTCTTAAAGGAAGTCGCAAAATAAATTTATGGGAACACTTTTAAAGTTCAACATAAAAATTTACTTAAGAATTTTAAAACCTTAGTTACGTAGGAACGTTGGCACGTAGTCAAAATGTGTTATATCGTTCTTTGGACGTGTGTAGCAGAAAATTACGCAATTCCTTGCAAGCAGTGCATATAGCACATACTAAAAGTTTCATACACTTTTTTGTAACTTTTGTAATGACAGTACATAACGTCACACCTTTTTATATACAAAGTTATAAGCAAAGGTGCACATTATTTTGTAACACCCACATTTCAACAGCTATGTTATAAGTCCTATGTAACAGAGAGCGAGTCTTTTCTCATACAACGGGTGCAATTCCAGACGCCGTGCTATAACTCTTTTGTGGTGTTTCCCGTAATACCTAATTCAAGAGTTACCTAGAGGGAGATTAAGCTCTATACCATCTCCGGCACGATCGCCGGCCACCGTAAGCGGTGATCGATGATCGATGATTTACTCCCTTAAAAAAATAGTCATAAATAAAACATAATACTTGTGTAATCTATACATACCTATAACAAAATCGTAGGAAAGTCAAAACTGTGCATTGAGTATTTTTTTAAAGAATACTTGGCACCTGATATAATCTATATCGAAGCTAAAATTTTTTGTCTGTTTGTCTTTATGTATGTCCGGGCTAAACTCAAAAAGAACTGTATAGATTTGCTACAAATTTTAAATGAATATTACCATGTAACATATTATCACGATATCAAAGGAGCTGTAAAGAACTATCCAAAGTCCTTTTTCCACGCGAACTAAGTCGCGGGCACAACTAATATTCTAATCTAACATTGTCCAATCACTAAAAACCTAGACTTACTTTATATAATTTTTATTGCCTGGCTTCACCTCCCAAAACCGCTGCAACTCTTGTAAGTCAGGACCTACAGTAAATACAACCATGAAAACACCAGAACACTGAAGTTCGGCGCGTCCTAGGAACATTTACCTATAACTGTCTTGGTTCCCGCAACGAAGTGAATCGGAAGGTATAGGAGGAGATGAAAAAAAAATATAGTTTCCACTTCCCTCGGTAAATTACTGCAGGAGACAGAATGAATTAAGCCTAAAGGCACAAAAAGAGGCTGTACAACTGGGTGAACCCCAGTCTCCACGCACCACAGAAACTTAACTAAAAACTAAGTCTTACTTCTTACTTATACTTACTTTATACTCATCATAAAAAACACAATTAAGTTCTTTCAACCTAACTTATTCACAAACATTACAGCTGACTGGTCTTCAAAAACATTTTCTATCGTTCTAGACTCGCCTTGATATTTAACTGAATCGACAATAACTGGGTCTTATCGAAATGTTTTCTGGGTTAACTGTGTAGACGTCAAACTGTCAGTTTGCGGTTTGTGGATACAAATCAAATCAATACCGAGCAATACTGAGCCACGGCTTACAACTGTCTGTAGGTATGTATTTAGAAGGGTTTTATAACTTAATGTCTGGATTGTATACTATTAAAGGGTTCTAGGTAGATTTGTCGATACATAATACAGATATTACTGAGTTACATAGGTTAATGGGTTTTAAAAAAATTCTCAGTAGGAGTCTGGAATTGTGCCCAGTATATGGCAATAGGCTTACCCCCTATTACATGGGACTCATAACATAAATAGTAAAAAGTGGGTGTTACATTGTACAGTGACATAATGTGCACCTCTGCGTACCCCTTCGGGGATAAAAGGCGTGATGTTATGTATGTTGTTGTATGTTATGTAATACAGATATACTGGCGAAAATTAAGTATATCGGCAAATCAAAGAATGAAAGTGTTAATTTTTAAAATACATTTTTAAATATTTAATTAGACTGAAAAATTGAAATAATTTATTTTTGACCCATGAAACTACCCAATTATGAAAACTCGCCAGTATAAAAGTGTGAAATTAGGAATCGTTCTCTGTCTCATCCTCTATGTAATGTCGATTAAAACATTTCTGGCAAAAAATAGTGTCTATGTTTTACATGCACCTCTCTACATAGGTAAAAAAGTACTAATTTTAATAAAGTTCAGCGTTTACAAAGTGAATTTGATTAACTTTAAACATGTTTATAAACAAAGGACTGGTAATTAAAATTGATTGGTACACAATAGCTGTTGGAAACTTTGCAGCAAGTTGTAAAGCTAGTCAGTTCTCTTGTTTCTTGAAGATTGTTTATTAATTATGTTGTCGGCTCTTCGCTTAGTGGTTACACTGGACTTACAAGGTCCTTTCATCGGGGATTTTCTATTGAGTGGCATTTAAAATTATTATTTAAAATACTGTCTCGTTGGTTGCTGGTCACAAGTACAACTATCGGTACCAGTAGGTCTTGAGTTAGATACAATATTAAATACAATTTTTATATACAACTAGCTTATACCCGCGGCTTCGCTCGCGTCACAAAAGGATAAAAAGTAGCCTATGTGACATATACCAATACATACAGCGCCATCTATACCAATACTTTTGTTTTCCCTCGGAAATATCAATTTTTTTGGGGATAAAAGTACCCTATTATTTAATCCAGACTACTAACTTTACGTCTGCAAAAATTCAATGCAATCGGTTAAGTAGTTACGGCGTGAAGTCGGAACAAACAAACAAACTCACTTTCCGATTTATAATATTATTAGTAAGGATTTTTTTAAACACGTCGCCTCACATTAGTATTTTGTCCTGTGTCGTGAGTGCGTTTTACAAACATACAAGTTCACATACACAATGACACCCAGATCCGGAACAACAATTTGTGGATCACACAAAGTGTTGTAGTGACACGGTGCACGGCAGCCGGTTGCCCAGCCACCGCACCAACCGTGCAATCAAATGCCTGGGTTACGCAAAGGGGTTTTACGGAATCTGTAATTGTGCCATGTGTATAGCAAAAAGCCTCATTAACTCGTCGAGTACCGGTTTTATAGACACAATTAAAGAACAATAGGTCGCGGTTACCGGTGACCGCTTGGTGTTTGACAGTTTAAGTGAGACTTATAAGCTAAGAGGTGAAAAGTGATTGTCACATTATATACCTATTATTAAATTCACGAGCAACCAAAGAACATGACATTACATTAACTCCTTGACCATTGATAACGTGTATGAAACCAAAACGACACTGACAGATGTATAGAGAATAGACGGATCACCTGATAGTAAGCAATCGATACCATCCACGGACACTAACAACACTGGCTCCGGCTCGGCTCCAACCCAGCATATGTGTGAGTGTGTGTTCTGTGTTATGACTGTAAGACTGTGGTGGTGGTATTTCTGTCCGCAAAGAACATGGCTTTCCCACGTTAAAACGTTTAATTCCAATTTCCCTCAACAGATGGCAGTGGTGTGGTGGTGAGGGCAGAGGAAGCCCTGATAGTAGCCTTCGTCCTCCTGCTATGGGTGGCAGCTATAGCCTTGTTCTTCAATCGATGGGGCAAGATCAGGTGCGTCTATAAACTGTACGTAGATTATTTGTTTCATTTTTCAAATGCACTGTAGACGTAGAAGCTAAGGAAAGATTTGGCACTGAGTAATGTAGGCTAGTTCATAGGTGTAGACAGAGGTAGAATAAAATGGGATGTTACGCTTTTAGAGACTTGGATAATGAATGGGACCAAATTTCTTTAGAGGCCAATCAGAATTTGGTCGATTAACACGCAATACAATATTACTAAGTTTAGTTTTTGTATATGTATATAGTACATGTAGTCAACAAGTCTTAGTTAATATTCCAGATTGGTCTAGTGATCATAATTGATTATTAAGTAGTTTTATCTCTAGATCTAAGTCTAGCTTACCTAAGTTATTTAAGTAAAGTAGGAACATCATAAGTTAGGTAGTAAAGTAAAATGTTAGTTGTGGCATACTTACACGACTACCACATTAAATCAACAGCCTATAAAATGGTCACTGCTGACCAAAGGCCTCTTCTCACGCAGAGAAGGTTTAGCATTATGGTGCAAAAAGACCGCATCGCTCATCAGTCGCCTGCGTGGAAGTCGCCACAGGATCGTGACTGCTATAGTCGATAGACATGATTGTCCATTGATGCGAAAATTAGTGCAGCGGACTAAGTGTCTGTTTATGTATTAACTATAGATACTATACTACTCTTTATTGTATTCTTTCTTTACTATTATTTTGGTGGATCTCAGTTATCTGAATAAATAAAGTTTATTATTATTATTATTTCCGTTTAGGCTTTGCATTTCTCCCGTCGAGTGGGGTTAAAATGGGCCGAAGCCCGTGCCTATTTTAAGTGCTAAATAGCCCCTAAGTGCTAAATAGAAGTGCTATACTTAGGTATTTAAAAACTTGCGGGTAAGAGGAGACAAGTTGATAGGCTAATATTTAAAGAATTCAGGCTATTGTGAAGTGTTTTTGGAATGACTCCTGGGTGGATAATACTATGGGGATGGTTTTAATTAATTATCTCGCTCCCTGCGGGTAACGATTTTCTTCACCGTTTGTGTCTAAATAATCTTAGAAAGTACAGCATAACTCGGAAAAAGTTACATTGATACTTGCCGTTAGTAGGTTTCGAACCCGCACCCTCATGTATGAGAAGTCCCGGTCTTGAAGCTCCGGACCACGGTGACAATATAAATGACTACGCTCACTAATTAAATTACAAGCGAGAAATATACACCTCTGCTAACTTATTTGTGTTTCGGTTGCTTATGGGACGACGTGCTCCATTGTAGACCGCATCATCGGTCACCACCAGGCGAGATATCGGTCAAAAATCGACACATCAAATACAAAAAAAATCAATATAAAAACAGTTTATGATTAAAGTTGTCAATACCCCAAATAACCTACATAACTTTGAAACCAAATCTAAACTCTATTTCTAAAATTTTGAAACCAATCTGAACTCTACTTTTAAAATAAATACTTGCACTTAAGTAAGTTGACTTGAAATCCACTTATATTTAGCTTCAAAAGTCCTTGAACTAAATCTGACAGCAGTCTAACTTTATTATTTAACTCGTCGAGTACCGTATTTACAGACATAATTAAAGAACAATAGGTTGCGGTCACCGGTGACCGCTTGGTGTTTGACAGTTTAAAGGGACGATGTAAAGACCTCATCTTTGACCCTAGGTTATTTACGTTTACCTCTTTAGGTAGTCTTAATAAGAAAATTTTAATAAATATTCATAAGTGTGACCCTTAGTTTTAAGTATTCTGTACAGTAGCGTAACTTTAATCCTGTGCAGATTTAATCTATCTTCGCTTGAACTTTTATCGAAATCGGCTTAGTAGTTTTTGAGTATCTAATATGTTGATCCATTAATGTTATTAATTAGAAAGTTTGTCTATTCACTCTGAAATTTGGGGTAAATTCACAATATTATGCAGTTTGGAGTTCGGAAAAAACATTGCATAATTGTGTAAAGTTGAGAAACGTTTTGTTTATATATCAAAGTATAAGTAAGCGGTTGTAGAATTTAGGGACAGCCTTAGGACTGTTTGGCTTTGGTTTTTAAAAAAAAAAATTGTCGCCCCATACTACCAATTTCTACTGTGTCGCGGGTACGTTTACAAACATACAAGTTCACATACACATCACACTCAGACCCGGAACAACAATCTGTGGATCACACAAAGAGTTGTTCCGTGCGGGAATCGACCCCACGACACGTTGCGCGGCAGTCAGTTGCCCAGCCACCGCACCAACTGTGCAGTCAATGATTGTTCAAACAACTATTAATCATAGTGGTTGCATATAATATCGGGACAGAAGAATGAAAGTAGATAAAATATCAACATTCAAAGAAAACACAAATATTTTTTATTTTTACTATTTGCGAATATAAAACCTAAAGTTATGACGAGTTATAAAAAAGTATCTAGAAAAAGAAAAAAGCAATTGAAATGTCTACAACAAGAAAATATGCTAGCGATTGTATCGTCTGTTTGATATAAAACAAATTGTTTACAATAAAGCTTTGTCTGAAGAAACATAGGAATTTCTAATAAAAATGGAATATCAGTATTTACACTGAAAAATCTAACTTGCCTCTTGAAATCTTTTCTAGGTTCAAAACTAAAATCTATCTTTATTGGTTTTGAAAGCAACAGTAAAAAGTTAATCGCATTTCTCTTGCAATTTTATAGTTTTTTGAACAAAAAGAAATGCCTTATGCTGGGACATTGAGCTCATAAAATTCTAACATAAAAATATAGTAGTTTAATGCGATAATTTCCAAAATTGATTACTAAGATGTGAAAAAAGAATTTCAATTTAATATCGGATTTAAAAATATGTTAATTTATGAATTGATTGACAAAGGTTTTATTTAGAAGAGTACCTATTTTTCGCCATATCATTCTTAGGTTATTTTTTTCTAATATCAATCTAGTCGATATAGGGATACATTATTTTTCATTGTACTTGTGACTTAACTAATTGTAATATAGGTTACAACCTAGTTACTGGTTTATTATACTACACATTAGTAACACATACGTATACATACATAGTAGGGGGAAGTCCCGTAACGCCGGACGGCACCTAACGCCGGACAGTTGGATTATGTCGACAACGATTAACAGGAGCGATTCAATTTTTACTATAAATCTTAGTTGTCTGACACTGGGAGACTTCCCACTAAAAATTGAATAGCTCGCGTTATTAGCTATAGAGATAATATAAGTGACCGGCGTTAGGTGCTGTCCGGCATTAAGGGCCTTCCCCCTATACATACTAACATACTGTAGATCAAAAATAAGCTAAAATTAAAGTACCTTAATTAACAGAGGTCTATTCAATCATAACTGATGCTTTTGCGAAAACATGCCGATGTTATGTATGTACATACTTACATCAATATTTTTATTGACACAATGAAAATAATTCAATTGATTTATCACCGACTTTTGGCCGTTGACTGACGTCCGGTATAATGCAATTTGTATAAAATTCTTTTTTGCCCCCGATGTTTCCAGTAAAAGCTTTTTGTCTTTTTCATCGATATAAAATTCAATTACCTAAATTACTGTATCCTTTTCGAAAAAGGACAATGAAAATACCCAACTGCTTCGTTTTAAGAATGATTTTTGAATAAGTACCAAATTTTGATAACAATTCTAGTGAATTAAAATTAGTGTTGCGAAATTGTCCAGTTTCTGAAGTCTTTAATAATAGGTACAGTCGCCCATAACCTAACTATTATGATTTAATGGGAATTTTGTTCAGGAACTAAAACTGCTATGACGTCTACCTTATTACAAGATTCGTCAAAACTATCTACAGAAATAAGAGCAACTATTACAACTTATAATTACATTCTCTTTAAGCGAATTTTCCTATTTTATAACAATTTAAACTGTGATGCCATGTTATTATGTTATGTAGGTGATTCTTATTTTCCATAGAATGCTGGAGCCATATCAGCCGAAGTTCCAACAGCAGCATCGACAGAGTTGCGCTTTAGCTGAGAATTCGGTGTCCGTGCCTCCACATGTGAGTTATTTGGTTATTTGCACGCTTACACTTATTTTTAGCCAAAACAATTCTTGATTCTGATAGGCAAGAGTAAATTAATGTTGAAGACATAATCAAAAGTGATGAAGACCTTGATAGAGACTTAAAAAAAGATTGAGTCTATGATTAAATTACTGGTCCACATCAGTTAACAAATTAACCAACAATTGTTAACGATGACATCAATAACAAAGATGCTACATCACTAAAATCACTTACAAGTTAACAACACATACGTCACTGGTTCAATCACTGTACACAATTTGAGTGACAGAATCGAGATTGGTTTGCATGATTGAAACTCACCTTTGACAGCTTACGCTGGTCCGTGAATGACTACATTCAACACAGAAGGAAATACAAGACTAGAATAATGTTTCAGAAATGTAACACAGATAATACATCCCATACCTTTCCATTACAGCAAACTGCAGAAAGTGAATGCCTAAATTATAATGATATTGTAAGGTATTTCTCGCTCTTTATTTGTCGACACGCATTCCAGAATCATTGCGAATGAACACCGTTTTATGATTGTTGAAAGACAATCGTGCCATAGTTAATGGACTGTATTTTCTTGTTGATAAGGTTAAATTTTAAAATAAAGATAAACTTGATATTATTGAAGAAAATACATTCCTTTAATGTATTAAAATGAGTAATGAAGCTTTAACATCGGTACTTGATGTTAAAGTTTTTCACAAGCACTATCCCTGTCCACCTTAGGATTTGGCTTGGTAAGAGATTTTCTAGTAATGAACCACTGCTTTGTACAGCACCGAGCATCACTGTCACGCGGCTGTGTGTCATACGACTGCGGGGCATCATTCCCATCTTATCAACCATGCGGGTACCTGTCCCATAGACCGCGGCAGGTAAGAACAATGAAAATTACGAATCAACTTGGTCATTCTAATTCAAAATATAATACAGGATCTTAAAGACTGGTAATGAAATAAGTATTAAACAAAATTGACAATGTTTTAATAACACAGCTTGGGTAGCACACCAAGTTTTGTTTGGTAGACGTGTTTTCAATTTGTGTCACATGTAGTAGTAGTAAATTTACCCTTAGTTGGGGAAATTAAAGCACTTGCCCTTTTGTTTGATTTTTAACTAATGCTGTGTTCTTTTTACTTTTTGAACATCTAGAACTCGGTCTTCGTAAGTAGCATGGGTATGGGAGGGATGGCACTCATTCCTGAGAGTCCACCAAGACGGTCGCGGTCTGCAGCCGACATTCCAGCCCTCATCACGCCATCAGAAATGTCTCACCACACGCCCAGGTCTTCGAGAGCAGCCAGCTTACACAGCGCAGTAGATATCAGAGTAGGTCCGTCTCCAAGAACGTCCAGAGCTGCAAGTCTACATTCAGCAGTAGATATGCCACAAGGGTCTGTCCAAGTTCACGTCAGAGGGTCAGGTTCGAACTTGAATAGACCGAGAAGTCCAAGACGACTAACTATAACTAATGTGTAATTTAAGCGAAACTGAATTCTATGTCTACGGTTTTAAGGACCAATATGTATTTATGACTGTCAAAGTCATTCTATGTTTCGGTTTAATAAACGACTATGATATTTATAAGGTCTTTCGTGCTCATTGAAAGATTATGATTATTATTATTACTGAATAGTTAAACTTAATTTTAATCCAGGATAATTTTCTTCGTACATGTTTCTTTCAAAACGCATTGAAACGAAGCTTTAAATCGACTTTGAGAATTATTAGTAATTCACTAATTTCATAAAGTTTTTGAATGCTTTCAATGAAATATTGTGGTGTGGGGTTCGAATTGTACCAATGAATTTTGATGTATATGTAGAAATAAGTTCTAGAATAATCTTCTATATTTCCAGTAGATTAGTGTTCTTCTCTTCTCTTCGTCATATCTATATTATCTATCGTATGTATACATACTACTTCGTAGATAGACTAGTGCGTGCGCGCAAAACTTAGATGTGTGGTGCTATTATTAGTATCAAAATTAATGTCTTTCTTAACTATTTCATTATCAGGACTGTTACAATTTAATTTATTTGTATCAGTTGAATAGAACCTTAATTTATTGCCTCTGTACTTCTTCCATTCATTCATTTCTTGATGTGTTTGCATGGATTGGTAATGGCTTTGTATTAAAATGATAATTTGATCAATGTCCAACCACTAGATTTGGAATTGACAAACTCCTTCCAGCTCGAATTTACCATTTGTCGTGAATCATAAGACATCCTTAATATTAATTGCCAATCCATGTAGTTATTATGTCTTTGAACTACATACCTCAAAAAGGAATTATTGTAGGTACGTATATATAAATAATTTACTAGAAAAATAATTTTCTATCTTATAAATGTGCTATTTAAGAAAATCCATTTAATTTATCATCTACAAATATTTTGGCCCTGTCGAGTACGTCCTTCGTGTCTACGCTAATGTCATAAGCAATCTTATTAATTTTAAATAAGGTTGATATTAATAAATTCTTGTCAAGTTTTGAATTTATCATTACCGGTTTGTTATTTAATATTGTACTATCCAATAAAGCTTTAAAGCTCAGATAGCTTTACCTGTGTTTCGTATAATTTGTTATCTCCTTCATTAGGTTTACCATCTTATTCATTTAAACCACTCATAGTGTTATTTATATCCAGTTATACATCGATCAGATTAATTTGAGTATTTTCAGTTAATATCAAGTTAATATCAAACCAATTCGTATCAATTTTAGAAACAACTCTTGCTCGTAAATTCTAAATAATGTAGTAATAATATATTTTAATGGCCAAATACTTTAATCTTTGTACATAGTAGCTTTATAACGACAATGTATTTAATTATTTCGTTATTCCACTTTCAGATATAACTATAAAAGATCGATTAATCATAAAATTCAGTTCACCTTGGTAAGAACAAGACGAAACACATGAAATTTTATGAATGTCAAATGGATGAAAAACGTCCAATACTTTCTAAATATAAAATAATCAATCTTGTAATAAGGTTACCTGAAAGTGACGTAACGAAGTTAATATACGTAAGGGCTATTAAATTTAATAATGATACAATAGAAAGAACCTTCACAATAGCAAACAGCCACATTGTACATCAATATGAATACAAAACGATACTTAATGGAAACCATACCATGGGTCTACTTACAACTGTTACAATTGTTTTGGAACTCGAAAGTAATACACATATAGGTACACTCGAAAGTAATTTTAAGTCATCGCACAAAAAATTAGACATAGACAAAAGCAAATAACTATCTTGAGAACATAATATGCAAAAAGCTACGAAAAATATTAGCAAACATTAAAAGTAATCAAAGAAAACCCATTAGAAAAATAAAAAGCTGAAGTTGACAGTAGTCACTGTCATTTTATAGGCGAGAACAATAAGTTGTTCTTGCCTTCAAATTCGATGTTATTCGTTTGGCAACTCTTGTCGTAGTAAAAATTCAAAAGAGCCGCTCCCTAACTCGCAAGCAAAAATGTAACCCATGGTAGCGCCCAAATACAATCAATACCATATTCTATCTTTAGACCACCAAGACGACTGTCATTCAAACCGAAATATTGTTTAAATTAACATGAACATAGCTGATTAAGGTAAAAATATATTTTATGATACTATATCTAAGATTGTAAGCCTGTAAACAAAATCAATTACGATTCTATGTAAATATTGTAATGAAAACTCACAAATCAATCGTGCCTGCGATGTCCTTGCAAATAAAGTATATTTTTGTGCCATTCGACTATCAAAGGCATGTTCTAGATGTAAGCTAATCTAATTCTAATAGATTCATTGTTATTATCAAAATTGTATAAAATTTTCGTATTCCGTCCGAGTATGACGTTTTCGCCTTCTTTTAGATAGATATTTGTTTTGAGTCCTTCAGTTTCTTCTTGTATATTTTTATGTTTTATTGATTCTGTAGAATTGGTGTCTTTGACTTAATAATGCATTGGTTAAAAATTATCTTCATCATTAATGTTAATTACAAAATTATTAATATCATTAAAATTATTGGTTAAATCTTGGTGTTTTTCTATATCTAAGTACATTTGTCCTGAACCAAAAATGCTATTAATTTACAACTTTTGGTCATCATATGTTGGTCTCGTCATCATAGTACTATTTAGATTATCAATCTTTATCGTCATCAACACTGAACGAGTTTAATCCAAAATATATTTTAAATATAACAGCAAAAAGTTCACTTTATTAAACCACAAACATCAGATCTCTTAATCTAGCTACATCAACTGAATTTTGCGAGAAAACATCAAGTTTTATTACTATGCCTTACTTGAAACTTTTTAATCCGGCTGAGTAGAGTTTTTCTAAATATAACAACGGCTCAAGTCACAATCGTCGCTTGACCCGACATACATTCTAAATTCAGAGACTTCGCTGCAAGTCCAAAATAAAACTGACCTTTATAGACAACTTAGACTCAACAAAGTTTATTTAAAATAAATGGGTCGCTCATATTTTGATTTGTGAATTGATATTTAAATATTTCGTTGAGAAATCCTATTTTGGCCACGATTTTTAGATATCCGTTATCTAAAAATCGTGGCCGAAATGGCCGTGTTTTATTATATTTTTTTTTTATTGGAGAAAATCATCCAATCCCTTCTTCTCCCACCCGGGTGAGGCGACAGGGAGTGTCAGACTCTTACTGACTACAAAGCACGTTCTTACTCCTGCACTCTTGAACTAACTTTAAACTGATTTACTACTCCTTAAAAAGTAAGAAAAATGTTGTTTTTTATAGTTTGGTTACAACACAATGACAACTATAAAATAAACATATTTGGTAGGACATATTTGTCCATGGGCGGCACTGATCGTTTACCATCAGGTGATCCGTCTGCTCGTTTACCTCCTATTCCATAAAAAAGAGACATCTACCTTGTATGATATTAAAACAGTTTCACATACATGGATGGACCAAACAGTTGTTCTTTTCCAACAATTAGGTTTGAAATTAATTCTCCTTTCTCAAGCGTATGCATATCATTCACATACATCGCGTTCCTTTCGTGTATCAACCTTTTTGTTAATTTACGGCTAAAGTATTCAAATCTCGTGCAAAATTTCACTCATTCTACTGTGGAATTGTTTTACCAAAAAAACTGTGGGAATGTTCCAACAAAACGTTTATCGGTCCACAAAAGTAAACGTTTCGTCCAATTTCTAGAATTTCGTTTTTAATTTCTTCTTTTGTTTTAATGTTCTAGAACCAGTCGTGACCTAATTGAGAGTTTTTAATTACTTCATTACTTGCAAGTTTTGTACTAATACTAAATCTAGAAAAGGGTTCCGTTTTATTAGGTTCTCCTTTATTACTTACCTTTCTTGGAAATGAAGCGGGTTTAAAAAGTGTCTCATCATAGGTAGTTCATCTTCAAACAGAACTTTAACTGAAATCCCTTTAATTATTTTCGACGACCTTCATTTAGCAGCTATAACTGTATTATTAAAAGTAGCATTATCTTTATCTACAATATTTTCGACGAGACTATCTCTATAACATTTAAATAATTTCAGGACTGTTTCTGCTTACGTAACTCCTATCCAGATTCAGATTTGCCTTTATTATCTAATTTAGCAATTTCTTTGCATCCAGATTCGCCTTTACAACCAAAGCCAAATAATTCTTCAACAAAATCGAGACAAACCAATTTGTATTCATCTATAACTTGTTAGAATAAAACTACACACATTCTTGACTCAGCCAACTAAGTTCAAAAACTGCTCAATTTGTACCAACTTGGAATGGGACATCGATTCCTATACACACGCACATTAAGCTATACAAAACCAGTTTATCTTGTCCTCGCTTCGTATGATCTTACCGCATATTTAAAGGTCAGTATATACTGGTTTGCTTAGCTCGATGTGGAACTGTGTGTACAATTCGTTGAACGTAACTTTAGCTATTAAGGTCACTGCAGTTTTTCGTTCAGTTAAACGGCCATTTTGCTTTTGTTGAAAACCAATGAATGTGTTATGATGTTTGTTCGCCAACGTTTCCGTGTCAATAATGTATTTAATTGGAAAGATTATTGTTGTTTGTAGTGATACAAGGTCAGTTTTTGGAACTTCTATATCTAGGTTCTTGTCGCGGAGAACCTAACGGGTTACCGGAGCTCCGGCTCGACGTGCAGGAGAAGGAACGGTGTGGTTCTTAGTCAGTAAGAGTCTGACACTCCCTCCCGCCTCACCCAGGCGGGAGCAGTAATTCGATGACTTTCCCCCCTTAAAAAATACCTAGGTTCTTGATAACCATATCTACAAATATGCAATAGGAATGATGACGGGGTATGAAAATTAAAAATCTATTTAGTTCATCTGTTTGATAATAAAAAAATATTAAATACGTATTTTTTTAATTTGTCATACAAGAAAACAGTACTTAGATAAAACCAATCAAAGTTTAAGAGAGGGAGCTAAACCGATATTTCTACGTATAAAACGTACATACCTAGAAGTGACGTCACGCGATATTTCAAATCAACATATCGTTGAAAGTATTTGTTTCTGTAAGAAAATAAAAAATACGTGTCTAATTTTTTAAAATAATCTACCAGACGGACATTAAAATAAAAATTCTTCATCTACCCTATTGCCGTTGAATTGAGATCTCGCTCTCGCTGTACCAGATGATAATCACCTTCATAAGTGTAACTAAGTACGGTGGCCAGCAGCCCAACCTATACCAATCTGTCAAATTTATTCATTAGATTTTCGACTTTATTTTTTTATAGAATATACCAGTGAACGAGCCAAGTGTGTTACCGGCCATTTGGGAATTATGAATTTGAGGATTGTTAGGGATTCAGGAATTGAGGAAATTAGGGAGGGGGAGGGGAGTAATGGGGGTAATTATGTCACAATATAGTTAAAGATGTAATGTAATGTAAAAAAGATATACAGAAAAGGAGAGGTTGACCTATAGACAAGCGTTCATAGGCCACGGTACAGGTTAGCATCAGGTGGGCCGTGTGCTTTACTTGCCACCGTCGTGGTATAAAAAACCTCCTGGTCACCGTACCTAGGTATATATTCCAGGAATTCGTTATTTATGTAGAAATTATGACCTAAGATTAAGTTTTAATCATCTAGATAATGTACATTTTTCGGTGTATGTAATGGAGGCTACCATATTTTTGATAATCAGGTGGCGCAAATGTAGGCAGAGATTTTTGGTCCAATCACAGCAGTTGTCAAATACTGAACGTCCAATAGGATGACACTAGCTAACTCCCTATTGGACGAAGAACGAAAAGTTCACACTAGCACCATCTTGTGGGCAAAAATACGGTAGGCTCCATTAATTGATTATGTACCTAAGTTACTAAGCGTCTAGGTATATTTTCAAATGTGTCCGCTAACTTATGTCTCACTAAGTTCACCTAAGTAAGTTTGCCTGTCCTCTATCAAAGTTAATATAAGTTATACATATGTACTTAAGACTTGTTTCTAGAATTAATAAAAAGCAGTGATTCGTAATAAAAATGATTTTAATAAAACCTCTTCAAGTACTAAA